AGAATAGTTTTCACATTTTCTTTCCGCGTTGAAAACCAGTCTGATTTGCTTCAGCCTCGAAGAGTGTGTTTATGTAAAATTAAATGAACGCTGGCAGCCAGCTGCTTCTTTTTTTTTTTTTTTTTTTCTAAATGGGAAATGGGTTAAATACTCTTCAGGGGTCCTGCCCGGGTACAAGCCCGGGGACATCTCCCGAGCCCTGGCTTCCGTGCTCCATGTCCGTCCTTCTCCCAGATTCTCCCCCAGGAAGGAGAGGCCACTGTAGGTGCCAGCCCAGTGGCCTCCGGAGCTGACCCTCAGGCCACGGTCCCACTCGTGACCGTGCTGGTGCCCCCGCCCTCCCCCGTCAGCCCTCTGCCCTGTGTCCCCAGCTCTGCTGCCAGCCTCTGGAGCCGCAGCTCTTTTGGGACAACGTCATGGTTCTGGCCGAGAGAGAGACGCAGACCGGCTGAAACCGGCTCTGACTCCCTTTATTGAATTGGGCGCTATTGGATTTGTGGAACTCAACTTTCTGATGACAAAATATTATCTGCGTGGCCAAATAAAGATGGACGGAGCCCAGGGTCCACTCGGAAGGTGGTCCAGGCCGCTAACCCGCCTCGCGGGCTGCTTATCGCGCCCGGCACGGCCTCAGCCGCGGGGTCGGGATATAAAGTGCCCTTTCGGATTTTTCTTAAGCTAACATTAGGAAATTGTACATAAATTTAATCTCAGCTAAAAGGCAAAGATAGTCCACAGCCAAGGGCAAGGCCACCGTCGCATGGCAGTTGCTATGCTTTATGTCCAAGCAGACACAAACTGAGGGGAAAGTATGCTTCTCTCGACTAATCAATTACATTTGAGTAATTGATCGTATATTATTATTGATGAAAGCCCGTAATATGTGAGTTAGAAGGGAGTAGGTTCTCAGAAGATTAGATTTGTATACGAAGATGGAAGGGGAAAAATGACCGTCATAAAATCACGGGAGAGTGGTTTACGGCTTAACGTCTGGCAGATCACGGAGACGGGGCCCAGCCGCTGCCCCCGGCTCCTGCGCTGTCCGCCTGGGGAGGGGGCAGCTGGATGTGCAGCAGAGAGGACAGTCGTGGGTCCACGGACGCTGCCCGGGATGGCGTGAGTGCCTTTGTGGGGAGAGCGCAGGCCCGGCCCGGGTAGCCTCAGGGGCGCGACTGGGGGACGGTCAGGAGGACACGGGAGCCGGTTAAGGGAGCACCTGCTCCCGGCAGGGACGGCTCCCTCGTAAGGGGACAACCTTCTCACCCCGGGGCACAGAAGCGCAGCTCTCGGAGGCGCTGGGGAGGAGATTCCGGTCGGGCAGAAAATCCTCGAGGGTTTAAATTCTCTGTAATAAATTCATAGTTCCTTTCTAACAAATTCCTTCATTTGTAATAAAATTAATTCCTTTGTTTTCAGCCTTTCCTCTGAGACAGCGAATGGACCCGAGGCTTCGAGCTTTCCCCGGGCACCGGTTCTCGTCGAGTTTTCCTCCGCGGCTCTCGGGCTAGCGTCTAAGTTCGGTTTTTATTTCCTCTCTGCGGCAAGGAGGTGGCACAGTCTGAGCACCTCCTAAAATCCATTCTCTCTATTCCATTTTCAGTGGGCACGGTCCCACCTAGGATCAAAACTACAACTCCCAGCAATCCCTGAGCTGGGCATGACCGGGTGTGCCTGGGTTCCGGCCAATGGGAAGTGAGCAGAGGTGATGGGCCAAGGCTGGGGACCACGTGGCTGAGGGTACGCCGAGGCCAGTGGCGCTTGGGCTGCTGCCTGGCCACCGCCCAGCCAAGGAACTTCCACTGTGCTAGCCACCAATTCACTGTTTCTCTGCCATGCGGCTGAATCTGTTCATAAGACAAAGCGTGATTTAAGAGTGTGTTTCTTATTTTCCAAGTGATAAATGTTTTTTGGGGGGAGTGGTTAAAATTTTATTTATTATCTCTACTTTTTCTAGGATATGGCTAGAGAAGATCTCAAGTGTTCACAATAGTCTCAAGGTTTTCTTTGAGACTAAGTGCATTCTCGATTTCTATAAAATTCTTTCCAGGGGCGTTGGAAAGAATGCGTGGTCTCTTTTGAAGTAAAAAGTGTTTTGGACACATCTATTATACTGAGTTTGCTGATTATGTGATTCCGTTTCTCTAAAATCCTGATTTATTGGCTTATATCATCTATTAGATCAGTCTGATCCTGGAAATGGTGCGCTGCAGTTTCTGCCGGAATTCTGCTTTTATGATGTTCTCCTATCATTTTTAAATAACTCGGCTTTAGAGCGTCAGCTGCTAAGTCGATGAGCGTAGAATACAGATTTATTATTCTATCTGATTCATAAATTGTCCTTTGAATCCTTCAGAACGTCCCTTTCCCGTTCGGTGACTTCGACCTCAGTCCCGCCTCCTCCACGCTGACCAGAAGCCTTGGGGTTCCCGGTGTGGGCGTTTGCCAGCGTCCCCTCTGCACCCTCCCGGCAAGCATTTCTTCCGTCCCTCGCCCTCAGGCAGGATGCTTCTCTAAAACACGTGCTGCCATTTTTCTCGTCACCCAAACTGGTGCTCTGTTTTTCGCGGAGGACTCGGCCTGGGCGCGGCGTGACACGCATAACATGTTGCGACATGGTCCGCATGTTCTTCCTTCCACGTTCTTTTATGCTCACTGCTTTTTTCCTGGCCGTGCGCCCCGTTGCCTTTGCCCTGCTTTTGCTGCCGTTCGGGGGGCTATCCGCCAGCCCCCTGTGACCTTGGGGCCCTGGCGTCTGTGCTGGCTGTGACATCGTCTGCGAGTGACCCTGGGCTCTCCTCCCACCAGGGGTCATCTTCCCTTTTCCTACCTCCAGATCAGACGTCTGGTTCGGTATCATAATATGAAATGAAGGCGCCCACCCCAGCGACGCCCCGTGTATGCGTGCTCCCTCTGGGCACCCCCTCCTCCCACGAGCCTGGCCTCGCTGGCGGGGGGCTGAAACCAGCTTCTTCCTCAGCGCTGGCTCCAGGGTGAGCCCTGGGATGACATTCTCGAGTCCCCGTGTTGCCCGGTCCCCATGGCTCCAACATCTCCTTCCGTGTCACAGTGAGCACGGCAGGTGGGGCCCTGCTCCCAGCCCCCTCCGTCCTAAGTCGGTCACCCTTTGCTCAAACGCGTTTCTGGGGGTATATTCTCTTGATCTTAGCAAATCTGGGAACCTCTTCTTTCTCAGCGACCCCCGAATTCCATCTGAGGAGGCAGTAAGAGCGTGGTGACGCCCACAGACCCACCCTGGAGCTGCACTCCGGGTCCCAGCCCTGGCCGTGTGACCGTGGATACGTCACCAAGCTCCTCTGTGCCTGTGGCATGGAAACACCTCTAAGACCTCTCTCATCAACGCGAGGTGACAGATTACGCCAGCTCGCATGTGTGAAGTACGCTGGGCAGCGCCCGGAGCCCACTGCTGTCCCCACCGGCCGCGACAGCCCCTCCGGCACTCACAGTGACGAGTGAAAAGTCCAGTGCCGGTTCCGATGCTTTTCCTTTACAGTCTCGTTTTCTCTACGGAAGTTTGTAAGATGTCGCTTTTTCCTCCAGTTCAGGAATGTGATCGGATCGGACTTGACTGTGTGTCTTTCTACCCCAGTCCTGCCTGGGACCTCGTGAGCCCTTCGTGAGCCCTTCCAACCTGCCGGCTTGAATAATAGTTAGCTCGAGAGCTTTCGGTCCGTTATTTCTTCGTTCCCCTTAGTTTTCGCAGGCGGGGCTGCTCGTCTGTCCCCCGACCTCTGCCTCGTGATCTCCTCTTGGCGAGGCCTTTGCTCTGCCTTTCCAAATGGCTCCTTTACTTGGTTTTACCTGGGAATAAAGTCAGACTGCGAAGACACCGTCCCTCCTATTAGTAATTCAGCTAATACATGGATTTTGGTCTACGCGCCACGGTTTTCCGTTCCAGACATTTCTCGTGCGTCCTCGAGTCTCCGCGCCTTTGCACGGTCCTCTCCAGCGGCGGCCTGTCCCCGCACGCCTCCGTGCCCCGCCTCCGGCTCCTCCTCGGCTGCAGAACCCGCTTCTGGACCTGGCTGGGATTCTGTGCTGCCCATTGCAGCTGGGTGTCCTCAGCGGCCAGGATTAGCGAAAGCTAATCATTCGACCTTGTGCCTTAATGGGTTGCATCCCAGGAAAAAGAAACCACAAGAAAAAAAAAAGGAGGGGGGGGAGGGGAGGACGAG